AAAAGTCGTTTTTTTTTTTTTTAAATAGTAAGATCTAAGTGCTAATGGACAGAAATTTTTTAAAAAAATTTTTATTAGTGAAACACCATGAGGTACAGTTGTAGACTTACAAGTTTTTGTGCTTGGGTTTCAGTTATACAATGATCAAGTACCCACCTCTCCACCAGTGCCCATTTTCTACCACCATGGGCCCCAGTATCCCTCCCACCCCCCCAGCCCCCCATCTCACCCTACCTCTGTGGCAGGTCATTCCCTTTTGTTCTCTCTCTCTCCTTTTGGGTACTGTGATTTGCAAAAGAGGCATTGAGTGGCAATCATGTTTGGTCTATAGTCTACTTTCAGCATGCTTCTCCCATCCTGGGAGGATCCTCCCAACACCCTTTATTTGGTGCTCCCTTCTCTATCTGAGCTGCCTTTTCCCTAGCATGTGTGGCTGGCCTCCAAGCCATGGAGTAAACCTCCTGGTACTTATCTCGGCTGTTCTTAGGTGTTAGTCTCCTATTATGTTACTTTATGTTCCCCAGATGAATGCAATCTTTCTATGAATGAACAGAAATTCTAAGACACAATTAATTTGCTCTAGATTTGTGAATGAATAAACACTTCAGATTAACCCTAAATCTTCCATTTCATTTTTCCCTAAACAATTCTTTGTAGGGACCAAAGAGATAGTAATAGGGGTAAAGGCACGGGCCTTCTAAGTGGCTAACCCCTGCTTCGATTTCTGGTATCATATGGTGCCCTGAGCACTGCTGACTGCGATCTCAGGAGCCACACAGCCCAGGCAGCGCGACATCCCTGGTCACTTGCTTTCTACTTACGGCCAGATGGACCTAGAATCTCAGAGCCCAGGGCCCTGAGCACCATGATGAAGGGCCTGCCACCTCCCTCCCCAATTTCTTCTAAGTGTAGGATAGTAACAAAGATGTTCTTTACTCAACTTTTTCTTTTTCTTTTTTTTTTTTTTTGCCTTTTTGGGTCATACCTGGTGATGCACAGGGGTTACTCCTGGCTCTGCACTCAGGAATTACTCCTGGCGGTGCTTGGAGGATCATACAGGATGCCGGGGATTGAACCCAGGTCGGCTGTGTGCAAAGCAAATGCCTACCTGCTGTGCTATTGCTCCAGCCCTGCAACTTTCTTTTTAGTGACGTTGTCAGCTAATTTTTACAAGATATATAAGACTAAGAATTGTTAAAAATTTCAAAACCTCTGATTTTTAAAAAGTTAAACATTAAGAAGCAGCAAATGTATCATTTATTTGATAATTATCTGCTATCTCCTTCAATTTTATAGATGTCTTAAAATGCAATGATAGTCACTTAGAAGGACAGCCAGGCTCACCTCCCGTATAGAAGCAATTTGCATTCAAAACCCATTTTATTTAGCTTTCAAATTTCTAGACACAAAAGCCAATCAAATAACAATGATTATCATCGTAAGATCTAAATTTCTTTCTTCATCAACCTCAATTTTCTTCTGTATTTAGTGCGAAGATCTAACTAAATTTACTAATAGTTATCAGTCTGTCTTACTACTTAAAGCTTTAAGAATGTTTCTTTACTGGGGCTGGAGCGATAGCACAATGGGTAGAGCATTTGCCTTGCATGCAGCTGACCCAGGTTCGATTCACAGCATCCCATATGGTCCCCCAGCACTGCCAGCAGTAATTCTGAGTACAAAGCCAGGAGTAACCCCTGGGCATTGCCAGATGTGACCCAAAATGAAAAAGAAAAGAAAAAGTGCTTCTTTACTAAAAGCACTTGGCTGAGTCTTCCTGGGTACTTAATATTCTAGATAAAAATGTAACTGTTTCCTTTGGTGGTACATTTCCTTCTTCAGGATCTCAGTCTTTTCTGCCAACACAAGGCTTATTGACATCTATGTAACTACCATTCCAACAGGATCTAAATTCCTACACTGGAAACTCCTGTTAATTCCACCTGGCATAAACAATTACAAGTGCCAGAGATGTTTTACTAGTACTGAGAAGCTGTCAGGTTGCTTGACTTCGATTCCAACTAGTATGCCTTGGGGCCAATGCCTTGTATGCATGAGGTAGTGAGTCAGAATCCAGGCTCTAGGCTGTGGGAGAGGAGCAGTTTTTCTGTAAGACAATGCTCACTGTTCCTGGAATTGTTATATAAAATTTGGAATGTTTCCTCAACATTTACAGACAGTGACATAACCTCACACTTGCTAAGTGGGACATAATCAGAAAGCCTTGGGAGTGTGGGGGGTCGGGGGGAGGAGGGATTCTCCCACTCTTAGTCATCTGGAGACTTTTTTAAGGTTGGAAATACCTAAAGGCGAGTCTTGAGTAAGAAATCAGCCCGTCCGATAAAGGGGAGGGCGTTCCATGGAGAGAAAAGGAATCACTCAGACACCAAAAGGGAATGGGAAAAAATGATGCATTGGGAGAACTGCAAGCAGTTTGCTAGAGCCACAGGAGATAGGCATATGGACCAGAGGGACACGAGATCTGGGACGTGATGAAAAACCTTTGACTGTGTCATTCTGCGATGTTGCAGGACACGCTGACAGCAGTGGAGAGCCACAGAGTTGAAGTGAGAATGAGTAGAAATAGGTCCACTCAGGCTTTCCGGTCAGACAGAAAAAGAAGAGAGGAATCAATTAGGAATAGTTAGGATCATTCCGGTGAGAGATGTGAGGGCTTGAGCTAAACCAGTGGACATGGAGAAATGTGGTCAGCTGTGAGAGAGAGAGAGTAAAAATGAGAGACCCATAATGACTGAGGAGGGGAAAAGCTCCAGGTGGGACAGTTGCAGGCCGGGTTGGCAGAGGGGGCCCCTGGTCATGAGTTTTTTCCTTTCTAGATATCTAAAGATAAGATATGATTTGAAGAAAGAATCTATTCCCATACGCCTTGAGGATGCCCAGAAGCCAGACCCTTTTGAGTTACAAATACCGAGTTTTTTGAAGAAACTGAGGCACTACCCAGAGAAGGAAAGGTAGACCCCTCAGCAAAGAAGAAACTTTAAGACAAACTAAAGTCGTGATAGAAATGTGAAAAAGACCATCAGGAATCCAAGGCTCTTCCCCTTGACAAAGCCTAGTGGTTATCTATCCACGAAGTGGGGACCAGGGGAAAAGCCCTACTGTGAGACCTGCACAGCCAACCCTGGAGAGACAAGCGGCTTCTCTCCTCTCTCTCCTGCCTTCCACCTCTTGCTCCTCTAAATAAAGTAATGTCACTTTAAGAACGTGCGTACATACACACTCAAATGTGAAAATCAGTAACTGATAGACAAGAGAAGGGGGTAGGGCATAGGGGAACCAAGAATGACTTTCCTGTTGCTGGTGTAGGGAGTTAGCTGAGGCAAAGGTTCAGTTTGCACATGGGGTGCAACCTGAAATAAAGACAATGGAACTTGACATGCAGCATATGCTGATGCTTCTAGGAATGTTAGTTTTTCCATTTATCTCATTTTCTCTGGGAGGGAGGGATCGCTAAAGGTCATTTTAGCTCCATCACAGCAGGTCTATTGTGTATTTCCAGAAGCCAAAAAACACGAGGTCATGGCTAATGTTAAATATATTTATAACACTCATTTCAAGGAATACCAAAATGTATCGGACCCATATGCTCAATTCACATTAAAATATATGTCACAATCTATCTGCTTTTTAAGTGTGTGTCAGAAACAATTTCCAAAACAAATACCAAATGTCCTGGAGCTGCTTCAGTTCAAATGAACCAACCCATGTTGGACGGACCGAAACTACTGGCTACTTAGCTATGTGCTAAAAGTAGATATAAGTTGGAAACTGATTCTTGTAGGTTTAAGACAGAAATTCTCAACTTTCCTATTTTGCAAGATAAAATATGACTGAAAGACTATTTCATGGTGTGTCACCTCTCAAAAAACACACATTTCTTGAAAAGCTGAGTGCTAAGAAAAATTCCAAAGCACACTGTTGGTACAGCATGGATGCCTGGATAATGGGGCTCAATATATCAAAGTTGGACTAACACCCCACACTAGAAAGATTCTTTACAAGTATCTAGATACTTGCAAAACAGACTAGTTCTGAACAATTCGTCAAGATACACTTTTATCTAGGATGAGCTATGCAGCTAGGCTTGCTTGGGTGGAATACATTCTTGTCAAATTTCTAAGGAACAATTTTTCAGCAACTCTCAAAAAATATCATATAGAACTCAAACTGGTATCTAGTTTCATTTCTTACCCTATTTATTGCTCCATCTGGCTCAACTTAGAACATGATAGTATAAATTTCCAATACAGTATTGAATCAAAACACTGGTGGGTAACTTGAAAAAAGAAATAAAAAAAGAAAAAGGCAGCACAGAAAGAAAGAGAGATGTGGTTGCCTGTGATTACTATACTGACACACACCAAAGGTATCATCAAATTTCATCTCTGTGGGAGCTCTAGATGTGTAACTGACGTGTGGAAACTGCTTCTAGAACGTGCAACCGATTAACAGTAGATTTTTTTCCATTTCTTTTTTTTTTGTATAGTATGACAGACATAATAAGGTAATTTTTCCAGTCAGAAAATATCTTATAGGGAAAAATATAAAACTGGAAAATTTTTTGTTTTTGGGTCATGTGTGGTGGTGCTCAGGGGTGACTCATGGCGCTGTGCTTGAGGGACAATATGTGAAGTAAGGAACTGAACCTAAAATCAGATGAGGGGGCTGGAGTGATAGCACAGTGGGTAGGGCATTTGCCTTGCATGCGGCCGACCTGGGTTCAATTCCCAGCATCCCATATGGTCCCCCGAGCACCGCCAGGAGTGATTCCTGAGTGCAGAGCCAGGAGTGACCCCTGAGCATCACCGGTTGTGACCCAGAAAAGCAAAATAAATAAATAAATAAATAAAAATAAAATCAGATGAGGACAAGGCAGTGACCACCCACTGTACCAACTCTCTGACCTGAAATTGTTTTTGTTATAACTGATAAACTCAACACTGGCACAATAATGTCCTTATATCAGAAGAATTACTTACTCAAGAAGATCTGGGTCTAGCCCTTCCAATATCATTTTGTTTCTTATTGCCATCACTGGAACACCCTAGGTAAAGGATGCAGGAAAAGAATGCAATTATTAAAAAAGCTCCTTTTAAGGTCTACATGTCACCTAATGTAAGTTCTTTAAATGCCTCATTTTTAAAAAAATTTTTATTAGTGAAACACCATGAGGTACAGTTGTAGACTTAAAAATTTTTGTGCTTGGGTTTCGATTATACAATGATCAAATACCCATCCCTCCACCAGTGCCCATTTTCTACCACCATGGATCCCAGTATCCTTCCCACCCCCATCCCCTGCATCCCACCCTGCCTCTGTGGCAGGGCATTCCCTTTTGTTCTCTCTCTCCTTTTGGGTGTTGTGGTCTGCAAAAGAGGAAATGCCTCATTTTTTAATAGCTTCTGTTTGGCTTTTCCATTAGTATGGATAGTATGAATAGAATTTGAATAATTTACTGATGTTCATCACGGTCCTCTCGTTGTTCATCTATTTGCTCGAGCGGGCCCAGTAACATCTCCATCATGAGACTTATTGTTACTGTGTTTGGCATACTGAGTACGTCACGGGTAGCTTGCCAGGCTCTGCCGTGCAGGCGAGATACTCTTGGTAGCTTGCCGGGCTCTCCGAGAGGGGTGGACGAATCGAACTCAGGTCGGCCATGTTGGCTGTGTGCAAGGCAAACGCCCTACCACTGTGCTATTGCTCCAGCCCACTGATGTTCATATTCTATTTTATTTTAAAAAAATTTTTGTTTTTGTTTTTGTGCCACTTCTGGCTATGCTCAGGGGTTACTCCGGGCACTACACTCAGGAATTACTCCTGGTGGTGTCCAGAGGACCATATGTGATGCCAGAGAGTGAACATGGGTCAGCCACATGCAAGAAAAGCACCCTATTCCCTGTACCATCGCTTTACTCGAGATTTACATTTTAACTGACTTCACATGGACTCACAGCTGTCCAATACCAATAAACCAAAATAAAATCATATGAGCTTATTCATCACTAACTCTGGGGCAAAGAAGTCAGATGCATACTCTTACTCTTTTATGCCACTGAAAGAAAAGAAAAATTGCTCATAAAAAAAAAACTCATATGATTAAAAGTCTTGGCTAAAATAGCGCAATGAATACTTCACAATATGAATGAATGTCTTTTCAGATAAAGATTCCAGAGTTTTCAACTCCTAAATATAGATATGTTAATGTTCTCTTCATAAGCAAATAGTTCAGGTTTCAAGGTCTGACAGAATTCAAGAACTCTATTATATACCTTTCCCATACCAATACAGATACCAATTAATGATAATTATCACCAAAAAAATTGAAAATGTGAATCGGAAAATTCAGGAAAAGAACCTCACAAAAAGCAAGAAAAGGGTAAGTCAGAAATAAATACAAATCTGCATTTAAAAAAAGAACGGAGTGGCTGGTAAACATTTATTGGTGGTTCACCTAAGAATCTAAAAGGGAGAAGATGTGTAATCAAGTCTCTTCGTCAACTCTGCCTTGTCACACCCATCCCCCAACAACAATCTGATGCGTTACACTTGAGAACCTTAATTCCATCAGGTTCATAAGTAAAGGGTGGGGGGTCGTAAGTGGCTGCATCGTGGTGCAGCCCCACGCAGGCCTCTTTATAGCATGTGCCAATATGGGTATGTACAGCCAGGGTAAACTGAGTCAGTAGGAAAAGCTCGGGGATTCCACATCATCTGCAGAGCCGAGGCGCTCTGAAGCTCAAGCACAATTTTTCTGAGCCCTTTCTGAGCACCAGGTCAGCTGGGGCGACCCCATTTTCTTTGCTGCTGGTCCCCGCGGGACTCTCCACGGGTGGTGAACGAGTAAATCTGCCTTCACAGCCCCCAACACCTCAATATTTAATCTTGTGATGGCAGTGCAGGGCTTGGTGCAGACCAGAGTGAGACTCAAGAAAGGCCAGTGGGCTTGAGAGCCCCTGAAGTATTGACCAGGGTGACTGGGAGATGAGGAGGGAGTTCATTGAAAATGAAAAACACTGAAAACTGGAAATTCACAGATTTTTACATGCACATACCTAAGCTTACCTCAGATATATTTCATAAGAATAAAGATAACCTGTCCAACTATTTTTCCTCCCCCTCAAACTGGTATTATTTTACATTTTATCCCTGCACAAATAAATACATTTAAGCACATGCAAAAATTTAAGAACACAGTATTAGCTCAATGTGCATAATTTTCAACATTAATGGCATGTGTCTGTCATAGGAATTTATAATCTTGACTTCTGAAATGGAGAAATGTATCAAAATCTTTAATTCTTATTTCTCCTTAAAATGCACCCCACTACCCCAATCCCAAAGTTACAGAAAAACGTCTAAGATGCCTTCTACAACCATTATCTCTTATATTGAAGGAGAAAAGATTCAAATTCTCTACAGCTAGCACGTGATAATGAGTTGGGAAAGCAAAGGCCTTTCTACTTTGCCAAATTTACAGAATACACACATTCACTAAAGATAGCAAAAATAAAATTGCCATTTACATCCTATCATAACTTAATTTTTTCATAGAAATTAGTAAAAGGTAAGCAATAAAGACTTAGATATGTTGCAGGAGAGATAGGAAAGGGAGTAAGGTGCTTGCTCTCCATGCAGCCAACGAGAGTTTGATCCCTAAGCACTGTTGGGACTGAATCCAGGAGCACAGAACTGGGAGTAGCCCTGAGCATCCCTGGGTGTGACGGCTATCCTGCCCCCACAAATAAGACTTAAAAGCACCCCAAGTATTCTATGGTTGAAATAATTAGAAGGCATCATGGAATTCTCTTCAAAACCACACTCCTGAGAGCAATCTTAAAAGTATTCTGAAAAGTAAAATATGTAGTCTTGGAAGACAAAGAAGGTAGAGGATAATAAAAATTTACAAAGTCTCAAGGATTAAAATAAAGGGAAAAAAAGCAGCTAGGAGCTTAGGGGCGTCCAATGTGAACAAACTGTATTTGGAATAAAGATTAAAACTAGCACCACTTTTAAAGAATAATACCTGAAACTACCACTTGAAATTTTTAAAAATCACTGTATCACTGTCATCGTCGAATTACTCGAGTGGACGCCAGTAACGTCTCTATTCCTCTCAGTTCTGAGATTTTAACAGCTTCTTCTTACTCGTCTTTTCCCAAACGATTGGAGGCTCCTTCAGGGTCAGGGGAATGAGACCTGTTGTCATTATTGTATTTGGCATATTGAACACACCATGGGGAGCTTGCCAAGCTCTGCCTGTGCGGGCAGGATACTCTCAGTAGCTTTTAAAAATAAAATGCAATTGCACTGTATTGTCCTCCGGTTGTTCATCAATTTGCTCGAGTGGGCCCAATAACGTCTCCATCATGAGACTTGTTGCTACTGTGTTTGGCATATCGAATACATCACGGGTAGCTTGCCAGGCTTTGCGGTGCGGGCAAGATACTCTCAGTAGCTTGCCGGGCTCTTCGAGAGGGGTGGAGGAATCAAACTCCTGTTGGCCAGGTTGGCCACGTGCAAGGCAAACGCCCTACCCGCTGTGCTACTGCTCCAGCCCAAAATGTAATTAAGAATAAAAATAAAAATAATTTCAATAGTAAAGAAGAAATTTAACAATTAAATGCCATTCAACTCCTTTGTGTTGGGCCTTAAATATGTCATAAAAACAAAAACCAAAATGCTAAAGTGTTAAGGAGAAACTAGAAGAGTAAAAAGAATAAATTTAACATTGTACTTCTTTTTAAAAAAATCTCTCAGTTTTTATTAACTAAGTTTCGAATGGCAGAAGGTTGATCTTCAAGCTCAACTATGTGATTTATTTATTATACTTTAGCATAATCCACAGGATATCACTGGAAAGGTTATATAAATAAGTTACAAAGCCGAGAAAACAGAAAGGAGGAGAAATGAGGTTGAAATTAAAAAAAAAGTTTCCTAAAATATAGCAAAAACAGTATGAGGTGGTGGAGTAGGGGGCAGTGGCTGGGAATGGGAGGATGGTGGGAAGGAAGTGGATGGAATTAGATAATCTCCCTCTTTTAACATTAGTTTCACGGATCTGATTATAGTCTAAGAATGAAAACCTGAATGCGTCAGTTCCATATCTGACCTAGTTTCCTAAAGCTGCTAGCGGTATAAGTATACAGACATTACCAAAACATTGTGAGTTTTCAGTAATATTTGTATATGGATAAAGTTGAAGAAACATACCTATAAGATCTTATCCCAAAAGAGACTTTACTATTATCACCACTCTACTGCTCATAATCTTTGATGCAAAAATAAATTGGCATGTGTTTCCAAAGGGTGCATTCCACAGGGACTAGGGGCAAGGCCTTCAATGACGTTGCTTAGAGAATCACTATTAGTGTTGTATTCTTCCGTAGAAGTTAAGGAAAACAGTCTGGTTTGTTCAACATCAAAAAGAAGTGTCTAATTTCTGATCTCCAAGAGACAAAGCTACTGGTGGTCGAAGGAGGACATGAGAGACCTCAAAGCTGAAGTCTACTGAACTGTGGGATTATTTTTGGCAAATGCTAATGGCAGCTTGTCCAACATAAGTAATGAAGGAGAGAGAGAGCGCAGCCATAAGTCTGATGTTCCAAAGAATCACGTCTGTATTTGCGTCACTGGAGAAAGTGTGTAAAGAAGCCACAGTAATGAAATTATGATGGCAACACTAATAGTTAAATAGTAGTCTCATATCACCATGAACGAGAGGTTGACAAGACTGCCAGTATCGGTATTTATTTGTTACTGTGCTCATGAAAGCCAACCTTTCATTCAGACCAGAAAATGGGGGCTGGGGGAACCCTCACACTGAATCCAACCCTTGTAAAGTAACAAAAGATGCTGCTTACATTTCAGGGCTTTCCCTTGGTTTAAGAACAGGACTCACAGTTCAGTTAGGCAAGACGAGATCTAAGTTGTTTTTTAAAGTTTTTTTCCTCTATCTAGGTCAACAATAAAGACAAATATCTATGATAAAAGGAGAGTACTTCATGTTCAGGGAGAGGGAATGAATAGAAGTTGAAAAGCTGC